GCAGCTGAGCTGCTGAGAAACTGATCACGTGCAGCACATCTACACCGCAGATAATAAATAAAACAACAATGCAATAAACCCTTAAATCATCCATGCCTGCTGCAACAGCAGCAATTAGGTGGAAAGCCATGAGGGTGGGAAGAGTTCTGTTTTGGATGTGACTTTACTAGCCCAAATTGTGGACGACCTGAGGTTACCTTTTCCAGCCTGGCTTGGGGAGTGCTGTCATGGGGTTGGGTGGCCTGGCAGSTAACGGCCGGGCTGTGGACAAGATGAGACAAGGCAGTGTGGGATGAGGCTGGAGTGTGCCAGTGCTGAGCCTTAGTCAGCCCTGCCATCCATGACTGGTTTCYTCTGAATGGACCAGATTTTTGAGCAGCATCTGAAGGCAGTGGTGGCTGCCAGGGGCTGGRGTGGCTGCGTGTGCTCCTGCACGTGTCTGACAGAGCTGTGCTGGCTCGGTCTCTGAGTTGAGATGGGTTTGAGCCTGAGTGAGATGGGTTTTTAAGGATATTCAGGTATGGAATGAGCTCTGTCTGAGTGGACCAGATTTTTGAGCAGCATCTGAAGGCAGTGGTGGCTGCCAGGGGCTGGGGTGGCTGCATGTGCTCCTCCATGTGTCTGACAGAGCTGTGCTTGCTCAGTCTCTGAGTTGAAATGGGTTTGAGCCTGAGTGAGATGGATTTTTAGGGATATTCAGGTCTGGAATGAACACTAGGACAGGGAGAGGGCACAACACATCCATGCTCAAAGCATGTCCTGCAGATACTACATCCCTGTGACCCTCTGGCTGCCCAGTCACTCCAGTCCCATCCTGGTGGGATCCCCCGTAGCCACAGCTGCAGAAAAGCCTTGCTTTTGCGTARCTGGCAGGTTTGGGACATGCTCTGGGCTCTGCTCCATGGTGCAGAATGTGTCTCCTGCTGTCTCAGTGACCATCCATCAGAACTGTGAGACATCACACYGGGCAGTGGGTGAAAGGTGCCCGTCAGTCGAGTGCCTGGGGCTGTCCCAGCCCGGGTAATAAACACACAACCCCAAGTGAAGGAAGGTCGTGCCTTGAACCCGAGCCCGGCTCTTTCTTTATTGGGAAGTTGGCAGGAGAGCCGGCCCAGGAGTCGGGT